CATCATTTGAAATACCACTTCTGTAGTCATGTTAATCTGTTAGTATGTGAATTTACATGACAAATGGAATAGCTCCTTATCAAAAGTTCATTATTAAATGATACACTACACGACTACAAATTCTTGACCTGGTCTATATTGAATTACTGCAAAATGTATGCCAGTGCGTCACTGTGCGTGGTACACATTTAGATGTGCAATTAGCCGTTACATAGTGATTACGGATTAGAATGTTATTTTCCCGCGCTGTGGAAGAAAGTACAAAATTAATTGCAGCATAAGCACTAACCTCCGGCAGCATAATCATGCCTTCTAATCATTCGCAACCATCATATCAGTTCGCTTATTCAAACGTGTTATTACTTGTAAAAATTTTCCTGAATATATGTAATAAAAATGACAGCATCGAAAAAATTGCTTGTGCGTTAGCATGCACTATTGCCATCCCGTTTTGACACGGCCCATTCATTCTATTCGTAATCAATATTTATGAAATTAAATACACAGTTTTCAATGCCAATTGCTTTGTGGCATGGATATTTTTTCATATTTCCTCTCCTCCCAATTTAAACAGTTTTGGTTAAGTTTGGCTAGGTTAGGTTCCACTCTTTTGCCGTATTAATTGAAGATGAGAGGACGTGAATATAAAAAAACATCAATACTGCTCAATGAGTATTTACTAGTCTGCATTAAATTTCATATCTATTGCTAACGAATGGAGAAAAAAATTGTGCCGAAGTGGCATCAAGATGACTATGCTATGCCACGCTTATAGGATGGCCCACACACTTCTGTCAGACCAGTCGTGTTGACAATTTTAGGATGATTTTTTTTTAAAGAATTTTCATAGCAGGTATAATAAGCATAATTAAGTAATTTCAATCATGATAAAGCTAAGAAAAAAGCTATATACAGACAATATTTTTGCGAGCGCTGTCAAAATTCATTTCAAATTTAACTAGCGCGATAAAAGCAAATTTGTAGCACGTTTCATGCACATAAGTTTTTATAATCGAAACCGAGCTTAACCTTTCCAACAAAAAAGCTATTTATTCAAAATACACCACTGCATATATAAGACCTCTCAGACACTTTTACGACCGGGCTCGCGATCTACAAGTTTCAGTAGCCTAAAATATCTCCCAAACTAATGAACGCAGCTCAATGAAACTTTGCACGCATCTTCACTAACATTGATGCTTAGGTCGTGATTATTTTTTAATTGCGCCTTTAATTAAAGGTACACGAAAAGCCTGTGCATGAGGATAGGAGATATGTTAGGCTCACTGCGAATTTAGAACCGTATAAGGCGCTACAAAGGTGAATTGAAAAAAATGATCATCACCTAAACATCACCATTTTTTGAACATTTGCTAAGTTTATTAGTTGGGAGATATTTTAGGCTTAATGAGGAAAATTAATTAATGCGGGGAAGAAGTGAAAAAATTATCATTTATCACGTTCATTCGCTTGAGGGCATCGCGAATGAATAGTTTTGTTTGTAATTTGGTAAAGATTGCTTTTAATTTCATAAAATAATGCGTGGAAAACGTGCCATGAAAATTTGTCATAAAAGTTTATCTTAAAAATTTGTTCACATAGTGTCGGATCGATATAGGTATCATTTGCGAAAAACACCTCAACACAGTGTTTGCTCTAAATCAGGGATTAAATCGAAAGTGGAATCTGGAATGGAAATCCGAATAGGCAAGCACTTGAACGTCTCCTCCTATGACAAACGCGCCAGTTATTTCTTTTCTGAATGATAGAACATAAGCTAAATATGAACTTAAAGTCCAAATGGCCAATCATAGCTCGATGCGTGTTGTCAATATATGTGTTGCCAGCTGCAGCCAGCCAGCAGTGTGTTTTAAACTGGCGCCGCATATGGTTGTTGATGCATGTGCTTTCAGCCATGCACTGTCGTCTGCCTCAATTCTACTAGCATATGAGTCAGAGGTGTCTGGTGCGTAAAAACTAAGATTTTTTGTTGACTGATTTTAATGAATTGTATTATGATTGTTTAACATTCACGTTCATAAATTTAGTCTGCAATGGATAGGCTTAATTTGCGTTCAGAAATGGGATGTTTACCCTAAAAAAACGTGTTCTTGATTGCCACTATCAACTATGCGTAGTTGCGGTCACATTAGAGTGGTCAGACTGCATTATCACATGTTCAGTTGACACTTGCTGTACAATCGGGCTGTTTTTAGGGTAAAATTAGTTATTTGGATTAACACGTGCATGCAACCTTGTAAATAAGTTTGTGGCTTGTAAATAGTTTTTCATTACTCAGCGTAAATGGCTTTTCATTAATAATTACCCGGCGACGCATCTTAAAATTACCCAGTGACGCTTAGGGCTTAAAAACCCATATATTGGCGACACTGCATCTACCCTCTGCAACATGGGATTAGTCGTTGGCAACACGGGATTGGATTTCAAACCACGCGCGATTTTGGAAGCATGGCAGTTTTTAATGAGCTCAGTTTATCAATTTTCATTGCAGTGGAAGGTGGTGTAAGGCAGTGGTAGGGTTGGTATTTTGATACGTTTTCTTACATTGACATGAGAATATATTACCTATACAGAATTCCACACTGGTTGAGTAGCAATTTCAAACTATCTTCAGTCTTGAAAAGATCCGGTCGAATGGCACAATTTTAGATCTTCTCTGAACGAGTCACGAAAAGTTCAAGAATCGGCAACAGGTCACATCAGGGATGATCAGGCCCATGGTTGAACTATACTATTTCAACCATGCATCAGGCCTACTCTTCAGCGCCGACATCACCATCTTATGTTATGTAATGCATAATCGATATCGTTTTAATTTCCCTCATCTTATACAGGTGATCACGAAAAAACGCTTGCTTTGGCTAATGGAAATTTAATAGATTAAACTGCTGGGAAAAATTGCTAAATTATATAAAATTTAGCGTTTTTACTTCTTACCGCGATATTCGAGTATCTTCTCAGACCTCAGTATTTCTGACTGCGCAGTGCGGTTACTACTTGCTATAGTAGTAGGTTATGTAAGATTCAAATGTAGCTGCCCTGCATTATTTGCTGCGAGATAGCTGACCTTGAAAACGTGTTGTGTTGTGGTGGTGCCGTGTGAGTAATGTCTCTTTTTGGCTTTTTTGAAGTTTATAGCTACTGTAATACAACTTCTGTTAATTAACGTGGTGTAAAGATTTTTCATTTGTGAACTATGAATGATTGCTGTTGGGTATATCCTTTGTTCTCTATCTTGCATCGTGAAATTTTTAGGAATTATTGGCCGGATAGGCGGCAGCCTATTCCTATCGTGGAATTCTGCCAGAGCCAGGCATTATCATGTCTCATGAATCATGATGATGCTCCAACTCCACTCTCCACCCACATACAAGACTACAAGTTACGACAGCATATGGCAGTGCATAGTGAGCATACCTACCCTACCTTCAGTACCTTGTAATGGTGTGCTTGTGACCTAAGCCCCAAGGAAGGGGCAAGGTCTGGAAGGGGAGATTAGTTCATGACTTCCTATTTCCTGATTAATTGACGGTTTGGCCAGTCACCACTCACCTGAGTCCCAGACTATGGCGCTATGGGATTGGGCCATACAACTGATACAAATATGTATGGGCTGTCTAAGTGCTAAGTGGAAATAATGCAACTTCAGACTGATTTGTATTTTTTTTTGCCTGTTAATGAACCCTGCAAATGGCTGAGGCCTGAGGCTACCAAAAAATGCCAATAATTCAGCTGGATGCACAAAATATATAATGATTTAAAATCTAATTCCACAGGGCAATCAAAAAAGTGAAATCCGTGCAGTGCAGAGTGCAGAGTTCAAAGGCTCAAAGCATGAAGGCAGGAAAATTAGTCAGATGCATAAAAAAACAGTAGATTCCATGCCAGGAGCAACATTTCTGCTCATAGACTCATTCAACTGTTGTTTTGCTAGAGAACAAAAATGCAAACGCAATCTGTGTGTGATTGTGATATGTGAGACAGTGAGTGTACAGTGAAAGTGGGTGAATATCAAAAACTCTTTGGGAACACATCAGCATAAGTCAAAAATAATTTTTGGTTTATATTTTAAGTTGTATCTACTATACCATTGATTTGTACTTCTGTCATTTCCAAAGTTCAATTTCAAGTGTTTCAAACCCTTCACCTCATCACCTGCATGATAATGAAAATTGTATTTTCGAAGCATCACAATCTATTAAAATGTCATTTGGAAATTGGAAACCTGCCTTTTGATCTCCTGGCACCAGCAAGAAATTTTGTTTGACTCCTGGAAAAAAATGAACAAGAAGATTATAATTAATAAAAAAGATGCTCTGGTCTTTAATTAAACTAGGGCTGGAGGTAAACCAGGGGAAGTGTGAACTGATCATACTGAACCATTCGAGAGAGGAAGAGCTCGAGACTGAGGAGATGTTTCGGGGGGTGTTGCCAACACTAAAAGTTGTTCCCGCCCATAAGTCACTTTTACTGGGTGCCCCACTCCATGTCAGAGAAAAGTTCGACGTGGGCCCGCTCCTCGCTCGCGTCACAGCTCAGTGACCCTCGGAGTCGGTGTAGGCCACCATCAGAGGCGTTAAGGTTGGGGCCCTGATCATTGACATGAAACCATTCCCTGTTTTTTAATTAATAAAATCAATTCCTTTTTTTTTTGTTGGAATGGTGAGTGTGGGAGGCCTTGAAAAAAAAAAAAAATGAACTATATATTGCAAGAAATTTGGTTTGACTCATTGAAAAGACATACAAGAAGATTATTAATGAAAAGCATGCTCTGGTCTTTAATCAAACTTGCATAAAAGAGAAGCTTCTGCCAAACTACACCAATATATATATGCCTTTACCAATTTATACTGTTAGGTCATGAATTTATTCCAGATTGTAGATAGGTTGAAAATTTCAGATTTAGTTTGAAATATCAACATGCATAGGTATTATTTTTATGTGCTAAAATTATTTATTCTTCCTGATAATTTGTTTTAAAGGCTAACTTCAAATAATATCTTCATAAAAATGTTTGAAGCTCCATAATTCATTGACAAGAATTTTTCTTGACACATTTGAGAATGACTACTCACAATGATTCTCAAGAATCACTCCTTAATGCTGAGAATGTCTTAGCATCCAGCAGTGAACCTCTTGCAGGAGTTGGAGCTGTCAAAAAGTTTGTTCTTTCTATTAGTGTGGAACCTGTTCTCTTCAGCTATGTGTTGGCAATGTCTCTTACATCAACACTCACCACAAGTTTATTGCTGGAGAGGGTAAGAATTTTGATTAATTCATTAGTTTTTTTTAGATCAGCTGATATGTTTGATTCTTTCTACCATATGGTTGAGAACTTAATTCTAATTAATACTCTATGATGTATATTTATATATTTGTAATATGTATAATGTATAAAACTTAAAAATTGTTCTGAATATCATTTGATGGTGCTGAGTGTTATTTATGATTTATGTGAAATTTGTTTTTTTTCAGATTTGTCTCTTGACATTTGGAGGCAATGAAACTATATGCAGCAACATCTCGCAAAACAGCTCACTGCAGAATAATGTTGAGAAGACCACAGCAGATATAAATTTATACTGCAACCTCATCACTAATCTTCCATCCATTATACTTGGACCCCTACTGGGAGATTACAGTGACAAACATGGACGTAAACTGCCCCTGGTCCTCCCACTTGTTGGGGCTACCTTCACCTCAATAGCACAAATGGTTTGACTTTTTGTGTTGAGGATATATTTTCCATCAAATTTGTTGTGAATTTACATTCAAATGCTGTATATATATATATAAGCAATTTATTGATGACTATTAATTTATAGAATATTGATCTTTGGATTTTTCAAATAATATCTTTCCATTAAATATTTTTGTTGAAAGTTGAGCATATAATTCGAAGCTAAGTTGTTGACATCAAATTTTTTTGCATGCAGGCATTTGCATTTGTACAATCAGCTGACCCAATGTGGCTGGTTGCTTGCTCTCTGCCACGAGGCCTCACGGGAGGCTTTGCTATCCTCATCATGGCATGCTACTCCTACATCACTGATAAGTCTGGAGAAAAGTGAGCATTTCCAAACAGAGTTGTTGGAACAATATTCAATAGGTATACTGGTGGAATGATGTGTATTGCTTTGAGAGTAAAACGTTTGTTTCCATTTAAGATACCAGTACTGATTTATGTGTTCATAACTATTTACTATTTAAATTTCAGTTTATTCTACTTATATGAAAAGGAACTGTGATTAATAATAATGTAAATCTGTGTCTCATTATTCACCATGATAAATATTTATTGTACTTCTATAAAATTTACACAATTCTGCTTTTAGGTCGCGCACCAGCAGGATTGCAGTGCTTGATGCAGCAATGGTGGTAGCTCTGCCTGTGGGTCTACTGCTAAGCGATGTGCTGTACTCCAAACTAGGATACTGGCCTGTCTTTGCTGTCTCCGCTTGTATCTACTTACTTGCACTTCAGTATTTAGCTGTCAGAATAAACAGTGAAAATACGAATGCTGTTCGTGAACCTTGTCAAGTTGTTTGGGACCAACATGGTGATGGAGACATGGAGCCCCTAAGTCCAGATAATGTCCAGCCTGCTCCAGAAAATAACGCATTAGCAAATCAAATGTTGGTATGTAGTATAATTCTGTTGTTCATCTTACAGTAGATTTATATTGATGACATGAGATTCAGTTATTTATGGCAAAAGAATGATTTCCTCTTACATTCATGTTATAAAATCAACGTTACTTAAACTCTAAGGTGGTGAACTAAAAAATGCCAATGTTTATCATCTATGCACATGCCAGCATGCATTAGATAATTACTTTCGGTGCTTTTACATTAATTTCTTTCCATTGTGTTTCCAGTGTATCGGTGGATGCATGACGTCACTTCGGGATACAATAAACACTTGCTGCAAACGGCGCCCTTGTTATGGACGAGCACGTCTCTGGATCCTCATCTTGACTCTTTGTTGTCTGGTGATCACTTATGGTGAGTGTGTTGTCTGGTAATCACTTATGGTGAGTGTGTTGTCTGATGATCACTTATGGTGAGTGCATTGTCTGGTGATCACTTATGGTGAGTGTTGTTTGGTGATCACTTATGGTGAGTGTGTTGTTTGGTGATCACTTATGGTGAGTGTGTTGTCTGGTGATCACTTATGGTGAGTGTGTTTGGTGAGTGTAGCTGATCGCGCCTTTGCCAGCAAATGCGTTCATTGTTGATAATGGGAATCAAGTCTGAAAATAATTGGTATCTTCATATTTGGGTACTAGTGTCCCAATGGTCACTATGCTTCGGCATTTGCTGTATCGTGTTATTTATTCACGAATGCAAGAAGACTTTTCTATGTTGGGCTATTCTGGTCTCTATTCTGTTTTTTTTTTACAAGAAATAATTATACACGTTGTTCGAATGCTCTTAAAGTGTGATAATGAACCTTTTTTCTGCTCTGCCTGTTGGAATTTACTTAACTAAAGTCAGGTGGCTGTAATAAAAATCTATTTTGATAATGGCAGATATTAATGACTAATTTCAGGGACTGTCGACTTCTTGTATCTGTACATGGAACTACGCTTTGGGTGGGACTACTCCAGCTTCGTGTATTACACCATAGCGTCGATGATGGTGGATCTGACTGGTCAGTTATTCACCATTCCTCGTCTGTGACTGCATACAATAAACTAATTACACAATCTTTGGATTTTCGATGAGGAAATTTGCTGCTCGAAATGTCAATTTAACATTACTTGCAACAATATAATAATAACAACATATGGAGGCATTGAATTGTAATGTACATAATGAATGAATGAATGTAATGTACATGAATGTAATAATGTAGCCTACGTATATTAACTGATAAACAACGTGTAAGTAAAAACATTATTGGTGTGTTGTTTGTCCTAAGCATAATATTTAATAGTCTAGGATCGGTACGTAAAATAATATGTAGTATTCATTGACATATCGTCCCAGTGGTGTAGAGTGCTAGATACTGGTACAAAAAGTGTATAACATGTAAAATTTTGTAAAATTTTATACTATGCATAAAATATATAGGAATATAAAATATAGGAATATAAAATATTAATTAGTTAATTACCACATCATGTGGATGGCAGGCACGGGCCTGATCATGTTCTTCGCGAGCTACAGACTCGGCGCGCCCGACTGCGTGCTGGGCTTGGTGTGCTCTGTAATCCTCGCCGCCTCGAGAACAGCCCTGGGTCTTGCTACCACTGTGTCCATGCTTTTTCTGTGTTAGTAGTACCTACCTAGAAGATGTTTATATTTAGGAAAAGTAGTTTAGACCGTAGAGTTTTAGATTTTGATGTAACTCTGATTTTACTGTTTATTTGACCTGTGAGATTCACTTGAAAATATTCTGGTGTGAACCAAATCATTGTTAATTTCGTCATTCATGTCAATTTTTTCAAAATCATCTTTCGTCATTCTTATGAATATATCATTTCATTCATATCAGATTTTGCATTGTTTCAGAGTTGAAATGAGCTAGCTGAATGAATGATCAAAGGGCATTTAAGGAGTCAGTGACTGCTGTCACTTGGGTGAGATGTCGGAGAAATCGCCAAAGCCTATGTCAGTTTATTAAGTTATAGTTCTTCAGTTTGAAAGCTTCTTCTTCTCATGTAATGCATCTAACTCATGTCTTGCCGCTCATATCGCGTACTTGATTTCATTTGTGTTTCGCGGTGACTTTCGCCTTGCGTGTGGATTCGTCATTGTTTAATTCATATCTTTGCTTTCACTGACTCAAATTTGAGTTACAGTAAGGTTTACGTTCCGATGAATTTATTCTCTATATAATTCAGTAATTCATGTAAATAGTCTAGCAATTTTTTGTTAGTGTTATTAAGTATTAAAATGCAATTTAACCAGCATGTTGCTTGGCTTAGAATGTATAATTATTCAATTTAAGCTTATACGCAGTTCTTTACTATTGACTAATTGTTGACTACTTAAGTTATTCCTTTCTCCCCTTTTATTTTCTCGTTTACTCACACCTTGCATTTCTTTTTATTAGCTTCTGATCTCATCAAGTGCTCAGTATTTCACTGTTTGATCCAATTCTCAATGTTTACATATCATAATTCCAATAGAGTCGCGTTAATGTCAAGTTTATAATTGAGTGAGACAGCAAATGGGCCCAAGATCTCACCTCTGAAGTGCTGGAAACAATATCTAATATTAGTTCATTCAAATTAACTTTTAGTCCTCGTTCATTTATTGGCTATTATATCTTTTCTTGAAATATAACGCATTTTACGCACTTAAGTTATTCTTCACTTTATAATTCTTATCTGAATTTGATGATTCTAATTTTCCATCAGCGTCGGGCTTGTCGTTTTGCGGAATCGTGCCTCTCGTTGTGATCCGCTCGCAGCTGAGCAAGAGCGTTTCTCCAGAAGAGGTTGGCAAAGTGTTTTCTCTGGTGTCGTCGGTGGAGAGCATTTTGCCTATGATCTCCTTGCCTGGCTTCACCGAACTCTTCAAACTTACGCTCGACTACATGCCTGGGGCCATATTCTTTGCAGCGGCTGCAAGCTTTGCTCTCGGCGCTTGCTTATATGGGTGAGGAATTTTCGAAGGATACCTAGAATACTGTCAATGGGATGCAATACTTAACACAGGATGCTCGTCAATTGGATGAAAAATTAATCAATTTTAGATACTAAAGTACGAAATTAATGCATGCATCCCAATTGAAGCTGCGACTTTGAAATTCACAATTGCCTTGTTGAAGGATTATTTTCTTCTCGCTTGTTCTGCCATGGATTGACCATAACGCGCGATCGAATCGAAAACTCTGGTGGTCAACTAGCTGGTTACGTCAGAAAATTGATAATTTCTTTAATATATAGCTGAATAATATAAAAATATTAGCTGAACATGATAGTTCTTTTGAATATTCTTGTAGGCACAAATTCATCACTTGTTATTGCAGGGTCATGTTAATTCTGGAGCGCCTGTCAGCGTCAAGCAGTGAGGCGCTGGATGACACTTCTCAGGAGCCTCGCGAGAACGTCGCTACCTGATATTTATTTAGGCATGCCAAGGCTTCTCTCAATCGCTGTTCATATTTCGTTAATTTTTTTTTATTTCACTAAAATGAAGGTTTTAAACATTGTCATCCATGCTTAGGAATTTGGCCGTACATTTCCATGAGATTGTTGATGGTTGTGATTTTAGAATTTGGTTAGGTTGTGACAATAATTAATTGGTACCTTTTATATAAGACTGGTTTTGTAATGAATGTGCTAGCTATGGGACTTTCGTTTCTCGTCACGGCTGGGAGTTGTGGACAAGAATTGTTATAACCAAATTCTCTGGTGAATTCATGTTGCTTTAACAGTTGATTGTCCCTCCTTTGAGAACTATGAGCCGCCGTTCAGATGAGTGGCCGCTCATTATATAAATAAATTAATTGCTGCCTGCCAGTGCAATACTTTCCTCTCGTGTAAATGATGAATAATTCTATTCCAAGGACATTTTTAAGACTGAACCTTGAGTGTATTGTATACGGGGTTAATTCACTTATTATATTGTGTCACCAGATGTGAAGACCAAGAATTTAATGTTTAAGTCTATTCCTCACACCCAGATTGATATCCACTATTGATTATCTATAATTTAATGTATGAATTTTTTCGAACGTTTCCTGGCCCACGTTTGTGTAGCTCGCGAGCAGATTTAAAGTTCATTGCGGCAGAATCAAAGTAGTTTGTATTAAAAATATTGATTTGTTTTTGTTACTTTGTATTTCCGGTTACTTCTGAAATGCATTTAGTAGAAATATTATTTTAGCTATAAGCTTGAGTTATTTAGTTATTTGTTTTTGCCTCTGTAAGCTTCAAGTTATTTATTGATATTTTATTGTATCATAGCAGATTTTAAATTAATGCATTGCTGGTTATTGGAGGTAAAACATTTACGTGAGCCACTTTTCCCTCTCTACTTAAGATGATAATTTTTTGCATGCTTTCTAAGAAATGTATCCAATTCATCCATATAGATATCCATTATCCGCTTGTTAATCCCATTTCTTACTAATATTGTTAATTTATCTTATTACGAGTATATTAGTAGTTTGAATATTGCAGTTATTTTATAATTAATATTGCCACAAAAATATCAAATTATGTCGCTTAATGGATCCTCTTGATAGGCTTTTTTTATCTTGTTGGTATTTTCAATTCTGTGATAAAGTACCTAAAAATGACCAGGACATGACAAGGCTCTTTGGTCGTCGCCATTAGATTTGACCTGCTCAATGCTGGTATCACAGATACAGCAGACCAAGGCATATAGCCTCATGATATAGGTGGTGCCTACCCTTCTGTGATAATAATATGCTACACTTCACGTTGAACCACTTTTCTTCCATTTAAATAATGCCGTGTTACTCACGGTTCATGTATGTGATTGAAATTAGTGTTTGCACGTTTTGTACAAATGGAATACGAGTAATTTTCTCAGAACCTACTTCTCTTGCTTCTCACTACCCGCATCTCCGTCCATAACTGTTCTAGTTACCTTAGCTCCTTCAGTGTCAAAAGACCAGATTAGTAATTACGTTACAAAAGATTTTGCTCTCGATTCAAGTTCAATGCTATTGTACTTCGTAATCTTCATGTCCAACTAAAAACATTTACTTCCAACATCAAGGTTGTACAGCTTTGGCTAAATAACCGTATATATTTCAATTTCCTCGATTCGCATCGTAACTCACAGCCAATTTTTCTGTTCTCGATGCCTTATAGTAAAACGACGTAGCAAATGATTTCTTTTATTCACAATGGAGTATTTACAAGAACGGTCGGTTAATCTAAGAATATGGCATGTATATCAAACTACGACGACATGTTCACTTTCTTTAAAAACACTACAAATATTAACTATAATGAAATATAGTAGTTATCGAATGATACTTCAACGATGAGCATCGGTCCAATCTAAGCCTAGAGACAAGAGAGTTCAGCGGGATGTGGAATCTTGTTCAAAACATTGCAGCAAGAAGGGCAATTTTGCTCAGGTCACTCGCGCTGTCTTTTAAGTTGGCAAAATATTTTCATAGAAATTTGTTGTCAAATATAATGCTCAATGTTGGTAGGAAATGAACATAAAAGCGGACGGTACAAGTTTACGGAAGAGGAGCGATCATCGGGAAGCACAAGCGAAAGACTTCAGAGGATTAATATTTTCGCACGAACTAGTGAGAAGCGAATCTATGAAGATGATCTCTGAGAAGAGCAAGTGACCTGAGCTTCAAAGCACCTTGGGCCTAACGATAAATTAATGCGCTAAAAAATGGAATGATCGAGAATTTGCCCATAACCTTCAACAAGCGCAAAGCAATGTGGCCACGGCAGCAATCTAAAGTTGGGTTCTCAGAACAGCCGAGCAGTTCCTCCTGCAACGAAGCGAGTTCACTGTTCATGAAACATGGGCAAACGTTATTTGTACCTTCCTGAATAAAAAAAAATACTCATAAGTCTATAAACAATTTGAATAATTCCAAGCTCTTATTGGGAATACCAACATAATTTAGGCCTGTGAATAATTCACATGAATCCGAGTCCTCCTTCAGTTATGCTAATTGTTGTAAAATTCCATACTCAGGGTGATTAGGAGCCGGCGTTTGAACGATGCTCCACTGATAATGGCTGGGTGTCACGAACGGCATAGTTGAGATGTTCAGGGGAGCCGTGGACTAGAAGAACCAATGTTCCCTCAAACTACATCGGTTACCTCAAGTATCCACTAGAAACAGAGGTACTCTTCATGCATTAACCTAACCTTAAACGAACGCTTCACCAACTATGTACACAACCCACTGACAACATCCATCCGCACCAAGCAGTTCGAAGATCAAATTATTTAAATCCTCAGAGAAAGCACCAATTGTTATAATCTTCCTTAGAGTACAGTTGACGAGACTAAATGTCACTAAGCTTACGTAAAAAATTTAGATTTTATCAGATTTTAGTTCTCAGAAAATCATGACCATTTAGTAAAATTTTGCAGGAGCGCGTTGCAATACAAGCGTTAAATGCTAAAGCTTCGTTGTATAAATGAAAGCAACAGCAGACGCCCACCGTCTTAAATATTACAGCGTGATACACTGAACATAATTTAATAAAATTAAGCATCAGAAACGAATTAACAAAAGAAGTTTAAATACTTATTTAAGAAACCACATAATTTATGGAGATGAATCTTCTAAACGTCGTATCTACCGCAAATTAATACACCGCCACATCTCAAAGTTGTGCAAATCACTGGTGGCACAGGTCGTGACTACGAACTCAGCCAGTCCGACATCTACCAAAGTTCGGAGACTCGGGATTCACGAATAAAAATCTGCGCTGACAAAGTAAAGCAAAAAATCAGCAATGTGATAAAAAAAACAGACATTTTTTACATTATAAGCGATGTCCATTTTCTTGTCCCTTAAAAATGGACACAAACTTCATAGTGACGAAAGAGATCAAGATGAAAATTAAATATCAAGTGTTTCCGTTAGCACATAATACATTAATTGCAGAAGCCAGAAATGAACGAGGAGGGTTTCTCCTCGAAACAATAATTAATTAAAAACAGGAAGAACCTTTCGTTACGGTGAACGAATACAACTGAATAACACAAAGCTTGATATTAAAGTAAACATTTATACAACGATATGAACATAACAAGATAATAGAAAAAATGTACAAAACATCGACACATATTACAAGCGACGCTCGCGAGTAAAGAAGAGCGCCTGCGCGTTCAAAAATCTCTAACCAATACAAATAAATTAAGACAATAGGTTAATACAATCTAAATGTGAAGTGTAATCAAGAAACAACAAGAACTTATTTCATCAACTCATTCACTTCTGTTGCACTAAGACACACAATTGTGTCTTGCATTAATGATTCAAAATCTGGAACAACAAAGTAGAGGAAGCGATTTTTTTGTTATACATGCCAAAATCATATGGATAAATAAGCAATATTAGCTAAATAACGGATACTGGAGAAGTTAAAAACTGCTAACAGCTTAACTTGTCTCGGGGTAAAACTAGGATTTAGACCAAGAATTAGAAGACCTCTCGAGTGGACTCTAATGCTTGTATTTCCTCTCGAGCAGCTCCCCAAAAATCTATTCCACAGTGAGCGACACAATTCAATGCCGAGTTCGTGCATCAGTCGGTACCAAGCTAGTGCCAAGTTAAAAATGGCACAAAACTAGCATACTAGAGCTCCTTTAAAAAAAATAAAACTACAGAAAGGCAGCAAAAAGTGGCAGCGCAGCAAAATTTACGGATTTTCTAGTAGAGCAATCGGTCGTACAGGCATGACGATTCAAACAGACTGCACGTCAGGCATTACGATCAAGATAAGATGGTGATAGCAGGTTTTGCGAAAAGATTGCCGCTCCCCAACACGACGAAACCACTTGCACACGAACACGCACTTATTGAATATCTAGGACCTAAGAATGGAAGCTACAACAATACTTCAATGGAGATGAATGACAAGCAGCACGACAATTGAGAGTTGTGGGCTTGCTACTAAGTTCCATTAGGATGCTACGAACAAGTAATGAGGAAAATTAGTAGGCTGCGTTCCGAAGAACAAGGCAGCTTGAGCCGAAACATCACTTCACTTTCCTCGTATTCTCTCCAGTTTACCAACAAGTATCTTTCTCATTGCAGCAAACCGCTGAGTGCGTCAATAGTCAAAGACAGCTCGACGTCTCCATGATTTAATTCATATCTGTATAATTGTGCTTCCAATGCAAGAAGCACACAAACGAACAACTTGCAAGGGTACAGAGCAACGAAAGGCAATTCTGTACAGGCACCATCACCAACTAGCGGGTCAGACATGAAATTAAGTGAAAGTAAGAGAGTTTTTTAAGTAATCTCTTACGGTGCAAAATATGTTTATGCTTTTTATAAGTTCAATGAGAACAAATTTTATAGATTATTGAAATATCACTATTAAATTTATTTCGAAAATATCTTGAATATCACTGGCTGATAAGAAGAGGGCAAATTACTTATTAATGAATTAAAAAGCTTATGGAAATTCACAGGATTAAATGGTGGGTCAATAAAAAACGTGTACTCGGGTAAATAAAATTAATAACCTATAAACAAGGGGAAAAATACGCTGGAATGAGTTAATAATTAAATGCCATGAACATTAATACTGCTATAGACGAGTAATTGTGATAAGGAAACTCGTATCAACGATGAGCGTCACGCATCAACAGCCATCAGAGTCTCGACTCTGCATGCCATTGTCGGCCTTCACAATGAGCGCGCTACGAGTCCCATGTGACGTTAAGTTAGAGCTCTAAGATTGACAGTCACACGTAGAAATAAATGGAAAAAACGTGCAACGAATGTCATAAATGTTAAGTCAACTAAATTCCAAATTTGAACCAGAAATTTGTTATATGAGAACATATGCAGGATTCCTACCAGTAAATGTTGGCGTAAATATTCTGAGCACTTAAGTTAAAAGGAAGAACATTGGCCACCTCGTCACATGAGCTTTGGAACTAAAGCAAGCTGACCGTTAAAGACGTAAACAGAAATTCAGGATCAGGAACGACACATTAAAAGATTAAGAGGTACATTACGTAATAAAAAGCAAGGCGGGAAAATGTCTTATCAGCAACAAGAACAGCCAGCGAAATCCGTCCCGGAATCAAAATACATCATCGTTAAAACTCAGTAAACATCATTACATCGTCCAGAAAAGAACCATCTCCAGTTTGTTTGAATTTACACAAGGTAGTAACAAAACACAACAGATAGTTCTTTAAAAACATTAGAATTACCAAATAAACTTCGGAGTTTGAAGCGTTTCTACAGATAGGTTTCGTGCCGGACGACGACGACAAACAAAACTGTTTTGTTACTTTCACTTGACTCTCAAATGCACTTAGCAACATAACCTTTCTTGACGTGAACTAAAACATTGACCACGAATCGAAAATGTATTGAGAAGGCATAGAGGTGTAAGCATGACACAAGCATTCACACACAACATCCAAATAAGAGACTTCAAAAGCACACAACAGCGTAAGCATGTCAAGCTTTCCTCATGTGCACAGCGTCCTAAGATTACAGTTCGTATTATAAATTAGTCGATGTCCAAATTCTGGCAGGCAGGGAAGAAGTGACTAGTGCAACAGGTCTCCGGATGCACCCACGTCCAAGCAACACATGAAAGATACACGTGAACAGGAAGCATCCTTCAGAGTAACATTGATCCGCAAGAAAGAATGCAATGAAAGCCTTCATATTTGTTCATGGTCTCATCACTGGTATTATTGAACTGTACCAAGTGAACGGAAAAATTTATATCACTATCCTCTGTAAGAAAATCAAGTCACAATAATAACGTACCAAGTGAACGGAGCTATACTGATACTAGTTTACTGCGAAATTCAATCTAAACTCATTGAAAGTAGGAGACTAAAAGTAATCGAGCCTGGGAATTATTTTTTTGAATCTCATTGTTATCATTTGAGTTTTTAAAATGAAAAAAGCTCGACATGCAGCAGAATTGCACCGATATATAAAGATACGTTTATCTTGCTCTGCATATCACAGGCACTCGGCCATCATACTAAACATAAATAAAGTTCCTAATGTCAGCGTAAAGGGAAATCAAAAAGTGGAAAAATATACAAATGCTGGCAGTTGACAGTAAGAGACATGAAGGGTTTCCCAGGTGGAGCCTGTCGAAGCGTCAGGCGTCGCTCACGTCTGATGTATAAATGCGGGCCGGTCAGCAGCTGAGCCCCAAGCTTATCTCCTGTTCAGTTCCATCTTGATCGCTGCGTGTAAACAAGGCGTGGTGAGTGTGCATGTAAACCGTAACTTCAAAAACATAACGAATTCAAACCTGAACCATTTTAAAAGACACATTTTTCCAAAAGATACAAAAAAATTTCAGTAAATTTGAATTTCCAAACAATCTTGAAATTCGAAAAAAACTGGAAATATAACTTCCAATTCATATGCCATTACTGACTGGCAGTTCTAGCGAAATGTCCAATTAAAAACCATGTGTTATGGACAAATTCTGTACGACATTCATCAGCAACTCAGCTAGGCATAGTCTTGATTTCTCGTCACAAGCGCTCGCTATTTTCTACTAAAAAAGTTCAAGTGAATCCCACTAAAATAATAAAACCATCAAGAAAACAATATAAAAAATTATCTTCAATAACAACAGATCACTACAACTAAGCGTCAATAGGAAGCTATTGAAACAACTGATTCACAATACAATCTTAATAAAACAGCAAACATAAAATAACAAGCCCCCAGAAGAACTGCCCTTTAATAACAAGCCCCCAGAATAACTGCCTTTTAATAATAAGCCCCCAGAAGAACTGCTCTTCAATAACAAGCCCCCAGAAGAACTGCTCTTCAATAACAAGCCCCCAGAAGAACTTCCCTTTAATAACAAGCCCCCAGAAGAACTGCCCTTCAATAACAAGCCCCAGAAGAACTGTCCTTCAATAACAAGCGCCCAGAAGAACTGCCCTTCAATAACAAGCCCCCAGAAGAACTGCCCTTCAATAACAAGCCCCCAGAAGAACTGCCATTTAATAACAAGCCTCCAGATGACCTTACCATTAATAATATCAATGATTATAACTGACCTTCAGCCAATAATTATTTCCATGATTAAAACTGACCTTCAACCACTAATAATATCCAAGATTAAAACTGACCTTCAATGATCTCCAGTTTACACTTGTTGACCTCCTTGGTGATGTGAGCCATGAGGTCCTCCCTGAGGTTGTCCAGGTCCTGGCTGGTGACGCAGCCCTCGTTGCCAGAGACGCCGTTTAGTCTCGTGGGGCCGCCATCGTCGCACGTTGACCCAAACCTGGCACGCATTAATTAATTACTTAATTCTCGTTAAATTAGTTAAGCACAGACAATTCAGTTGCTATAAATTGCCCACAATGAATCAAATGAAAACACAATGAAAGCACGACAAATACGTAAGAGTATTTAACTTAAATACATAGGGAAGTTTTCAAGGGTTAGGAAAATATACGCGTGAAATGAGGTTCCCGAAGGAAATACTAATGGGTAGATGACATTGAGGTGAACACAACACATAGAAATTACACACTCTAGCTATATCATTTAAACAAGAATTTAGTTAGGTACACAGTAGAGTTTGATTAATAGCCGTGACAGAATTTTTTCTTAAATGGAGAACTAATTTATCACATCATGTGGATTATGCTGGGCGTTGAAATGATTACGAGTTTAGACATGGAGATCAATTGATCAGTGATTACAAACTAGATGGTAAAAGGCATGCGTGAATTCAAATAAATGAAGGTGTTATTTAAATACACCATTTGAAACGAGTCACGATTTATATAAACTTCATAAACATGCACGGCGACACGGTGAATGCGCAGGAACAACGGAAATTTAGCAGGCGGAAGAGTTTTTTCAAAGTCTTGATATATTATTAGTTATCCTTCAGTGTGAATAAGGTCACAGCAACAACTAGCTCTTCAAAGGAGAAAGAAAGTATTTAAAAAAATTAAACATACATGCCATAGCGTCCACTATTTGACCGAAGGTCATCCCTTCAAGTGCGCTGAGTCAAGCTTGTGGCGAATTTTCAAACACTAGTCCATTGTGGTAAGAAATCTAAATTAATACAATTGCATCCCAAGCCAGAAATTACGAAAAATATTCGTTTATACCATGAAATGAAAACAAGCCGTGAAATAGGACATGATCAATAGGCCCTTTGGTGCCATCTCAAAGACCTAATTCAAGGAGCGCTTGCAACTTTTTGACAATAGAAAGTAAAGGCAAGGGTAACACTTAATGTCTATAGTGACTATGTTTACATACAAGAGAACACAATACGTTATATTAGAATAACGCAGTGATGAGAAGGCACGTCAAGGAATAAAAACATATTAATGTAAGTAGATCATCATGAAGAAGACATCCAAACATAAGACAAGCAGACTGCATAGACCAGAGGTTGGAACACCACGAGAGGTTATCGGACATACGTAACAAAACACGGTAAATGGCAACTCAAATCTGTCGTGTAGCCAAATCTTCAGAGGTACACAGACTCTAGTCGCCTCTCTGAAAATTTAGTGGGCTAATCGGATATACTTTCACAAAATCAAAGAGTGTTGGCAATCAGTTATACTTTCTCAAAATTCAAGTGCATGATAATAGGTTATACTTTCTAAAAGAGAGCAAGTAAGGCAATCGGTTATACTTGCTATCAATTCAGGATTATGATACTTGGTTATCACCCTTAACAACGCCATGACAATCTGGTGTATTGGTTTCACGACAGAGCAAGTGACCAGAGACAGGGCAGGCCATGCAGCGAGTACGAGGCACCGGCCTACCACTCGAGTACACCAGACGCCGTCCACTGCCGCCCCCAAATCTTACATAGAAGCTGACCTCTTGCGGGCAGGCTTAGGAGACTCGCCGCCCCCGCCTGACGTGGTGCTGGAGCGGCTGCTGGTGTTGTTGTTGCTCGTGATGCCATTTGTTGAGAGCTTGCTGCTGCTGGGGCTCTTCTGGCCCAGGCCTTTCAGGGTGCCGCCACCTCCACCGCTTGTGTTCTCCTGCGTATAATTTAAGAATTAATGCGTAGGTTAAGCATTAGCAAGAACATGTCCTTCAACTAAGTCAAATGAATCTCAAACGTTTTGTTACAGAGTGCTGGACTCGACAGAAATCAATAACTAGAAAGATTTATTTTCAAGTTTCTCCCCCATCAATGTCCACAAATTAAGTTGATAAATCAAACATAATTTCTATTTCGGATACGGAACATAATCGCGCATTACCATCATTACTCGCACGCCCGCCGCCGCGTACCAGTCACGGAAAACCTGGACACATTATGATGGGTATACGACAATGTAATGGGTATACGACAACCCAGTACCCATTACATTATCGTACACCCATCACATTCTTGTATACCCATCACACTGTTTTGTTGTATTCCCATCACATCGTTATTTCCAGGTTTTCCATGACCGGTACACACATATTAAATATCGTTCCTAACGTAAGTCGAGTCTGATCAAATGACGCGACTTACGGCAGCGTTGCCATTAGCTTGGGTCTTGGCTTTCCTCCTGGCGAGGGTGGCGGCCATCTCGTCCATCATGCTCATGCCCATGAGGGGCGGGCGGTCCGCGGGGCCCTTGCCGATGCTGCCGCCGCTGCTGCCCCCCGAGCTGCTGCTGCTGGTGCTGTCGCTGTCAGGAGGCCGCATCTTGCGCAGCTTGGCCGTCGCCAGCGCCGCTGATAGACCTGATAAAATAATCACTATTAATCACCGGCTCCTCCATCGTCTTTATTTACCATCAATTTGCATTTGGTAATTTTCTCAAATTCTTTTGGTGGTTTTTGATGCACGGGAAACAAAACGACAAACAAGCAAGGAAACCAAATTGGATTCAATCTCCTTCTTATACAATTTTTCAAGATTATCTACTGATTTTAGTGATCTAGCGGCCATTGTTTGCTTAAAATTCAACGAAATAACAAATTTTCAAAAGATTAATTGTAAAAAAATTGAAACAATTGATTTCAATATTGCCAAGGAAATCAATAAATGTAAATTTGAAATTGACACTCATAAGATTTAAGAAAAAACAATGAAACTTCTCTATCGCCAAAGAATTAAAAAGGTGACACAACATTCAGTGCTTTTTGTCACGCAGGGATGATTCATACACGCCAAAAACGTCAGAATTTCACAGTCAAGCACCAAGGTTCAGATCTTCGTTTTAATAACACTAGATTCCTTCGATGCGATAACGCTTCATGTAAATATGTGAATTTAAAATAAATTCTGCAATCGTCAGCATGATTATTAATTATTCAGTTATTGAATTAAATATCAAATTTCTATCTATAGAACAACAAGGAATAATTATTCAGTTAATGAATTAGATATCAAATTTCTATCCATAGAACTACAAGGATCATTTTGGCTCAGATTTGTAGCGGTAAAAATGTGTCGTTAACTCACTTGTCCCGCCAGCGCCGTCGTCCTGCGCTGCCGCCAGGTGATGCGAGGGCGGCGGCGGGGGTGGGGGAGGACCGCCACCCATGGGAGGAGGAGGAGGTGGGGGAGGTGCAGGAGCTGGGGAACTCAGCACCGGGGCAGGAGGAGCGTGAGGTGGAGCAGGAGGAGCAGGTGGTGCTGGTGGTGGAGCTGGAGGCACCACACCGGGGCCGGTGGGAGCAGAATTGTTACGGTGGTGGGAAGATGGAGGAGGAGGGGGAGCCTGGGGAGCCATGCGGAGGCCTCCAGACAACATCAACGACTCGTCACGCGTCAGACTCCTGAACATCAATTCATTTAATTCATTTATTCATCGTGGCTGAAAAGAATGAACATCAATTAACTGATAGAAAATTTTGAGGCTGAATAACAATCGATTTCACATAGGAAAACCTAGCAGTGGAAAAGTAAGAAACGAAACGTTCTATACAAATGCCAAATGAATTTGGTTCTTAGCAACCGACTTCTCCTTGAGTTTATATGACGTTTAGGACGCGTCTACATCATCGGGGATTAATCAATTAGTAAGTCACATGCCGACTTTTCTTCAATAAAAAAATACAAGTAATCTGTGACCAGGTTATGCTGCACAATCGTGCCTATTTCTCTTTCACACAAATGTACAATTAAACATTGTCTTGTCAGATTTTACAAATAGAAGCTTTAATATTCAACTACAATTCTAAGAATTAATGAAATTAGCGATCAATAAGTACATTCCCAAAAGAATTAATATACATAGTTCGCTAACACAGCACGCAGAAAACATAAATTCTATGAGCAACTTTAGGAAAGTAACAAAACTAGGTTTTAATATGAAATAATCTATGGATTAGTGAGAAACGAACATCAAATCAGCAAGAGTATTACCTATACAAGTAAGTGAATTTATTCCCCACTGACATATTTGATTAGCAGGAAGCACCAGAATGAGCCGAAGCATAATAAGTCAAATATGCGAACGTGGAAGCTGAAGCCATAATGTCAACAGAAGTAGATTATGAGCGAGGAATGAAGTCAGCAACGTCGTCTCGACAGGCGTAACAAGCGATGAATTTATGGTCAAATATCTCATTGCATGAACTGCGCGAATAAAATTTACTGAGATGTACAGTGGATATAATGCAAAATATGATGCGCTGAAGTAGAGCCACTAGCATGGACTGATGAAAAGGAGCTAGGAAAAGGAAAAGTGGAACATCACAACAACAACAATAATGAGCGAAGCATAAGTATTGAATACTCAGAAGAATCATTTTAACATAGCAGAGGCCTAAAACCAACGAGAATGACAGTGATGTGATCGACAGCAGATTGCGGTCGCTCAGCAATCATCGTGTCGCCTAAATTTCATGACAAAAAATTCAACCTAAACACAATAACCCGGTGAGTGTAGATGACAGGAATATCAAGCGAGTTAAACTTTCACATTCTCACTTCAGAACTGATGGGTTCGTTGAGTCGATGGAAGAATCAGCGAAAAGGAAATGTTTTAGTGAAGGAAAGTATTTAAGAAGCTGAATATTTTTTCAAGAAAGAAATATTAAAGTGGTGATGAACAGAGAGTTTGCAGTTCAGATATAATTATGAATTGTATGCAAAATTTTAAGGCTTAAAGCATCAGCAAAGAGAATATAAAAAAGTGGAGTGAAGAAATCACCCAAAGATAAATGAGCAGGACACACAAGAAGAAGTATACTTGGCACAAAAAAAAAACAGAAATAAGAAAATAGCAAAGCGTCAATACCTGCAGACAAGATGCTGTCGCACCCGAGGCTGCCTTCAGCTAAACACTTACAAAAGGACTGGAGAAAGGTTGGACAAGTCCCGACTGTACATCTCATTGCATGTGATCACTCATTAGCTTTAAACACAACAAAAACCTTCAACATAGAACCTCAATGAAACAATTCCTGCCACCCTACAAGGAGTCTCCCTAACATCAACTGGTGGTCATTTTTACACACCAATGACCAGGAGAAAGTTGTAGCAAGTGGAATAGAAATGTTTCTTTATATAATACCGAATAGCGATCAAGACTTGATTGGGAAACTTTTATTTAAAATGTGCAGCAGAATATTGCTTAATGCACCTAGTCTTCTTCTGGAGACTGAACAAGCAAGAGGGGAAACATGTTTGAAACAACAACGAACTTAATATCATGCGGAAGGACCAAATTCAGTCACAATTCAGGGGCCTTTCTTTAAAGCAATAGTCGAATGCTTAATTTTTGACAAAAAAAAATTAGCATGCTGCTCACAGAAAAATACCACGGATTATCTAAATTAAAAATCATGCATTAAAACGATGTTATTTGATCTCTATTTGATCCCTATCATTATTATATATTAGGGAAACTTGAACACCTATTGTATCAAACATTAATTTTGTACCTATTCCCAAAGAATAGCATAATAAAATTGAGATTTCCAGAGTTTTACCAGAAGGTTATCATTTCAATGTAAAGAAGTTATATTCAGTTCAGCAAGTCTAACGTACAGCGTAGGGAAGTGAGATAAAAAATTCAATACGTTCAGAAATTGCTCGACTGTTTTACAAAAGTCTAATGTAATAAGTTTTATAAGTCTAAAAATATTTGGTAATTCAGCATCAAAAAACGTTCATTCGCACAGCACATGTATTGTTTAGTAAACACAAAGAGTAGTTAATATTTCTCTACAGTAAAGCAAACAAATGAATTTTGTACAAAGCTAACGTTTTGAATGAAAACCACAACTGCTGTCGCATCAGCTTTGAATTATAATTGTTTCAAAAACGGATGTCCATATGAAAGAAAATGTTCGAATATACACGATAGCTTAAACCAAAGGCGAAACTAATAATGAAAAAAAAAGATATAAACCAATAAAGTCCCGACTACAATATGTACAAGATTTTTATAACATCAGCGGGGGCTTGATATATGATATCTTCTACACCATGTATATAAAGCAGTGAGAGGTGTGCGTTGTGTTTTAAATATATGACGAGAGCTGCCCACTATAATTCAACAGGCGGCACCACACAACAAACAACACACGAAATCAGACTCACTGACTGCGAGTACATCTCGCAGCAAATATCTTCACCTCACAAACAACACACAAATACAGACTTGGTGAGCACGATGCACTTAAAAAACAGACATCTCTACATCACGAATAACCAGTATTCAAATATAGACTCACTGACCCTGATGAAATCTCAATGCAAACATCTTCACCTCACACACCAAGCACAAAGACACACTCATTGACCACGGATGGATCTCAAAGCAGACATCATCTCACACACGGGACGCCAGCCCCGAGGGTCGTACCGTGTGTCCTGGTAGTGACTGAAGTTATCATAGGTTCGATCCACTTGCTGCTGGTCTGAGTACTGTGGTTGCTGGTCAGCGTACTGTGCTGGCTGGTACTGTGGTTGCTGGTACTGCTGCTGCTGTGGAGTACCTCCGTAAATGTGCTCAGGAGCACTCGTGCTGTGACTCGTGCCGTACCTGTAGGCCAGGTCTTCGTCGTACACCTGAGGCAGCGGCTGTTGTTGGTAGATGGGCTGGGGCGGCGGCTGCGACTGGTATTGCTGGAGTTGGTGGGGAGGTAGGGGAGGATTTGATTGTTGGTGGGGAGGGGGTTGAGGAGGATGCATTTGTTGCTGAGAGGGCATCCCAGGGGGAGTTTGATGAGGGGGAGGGGGTGGAGGCATTTGTCTGCCTGCCCCAGGACCGTTATTGAGAATCTGCACAAGCAGCACGAGATTTAGTCTGAGCAGTTAGCTGCATAGCTCACACTTGATCAGTTTAATCAACATAATAACAATAACCAAAGAAATGTACAGTTGAATAATAAAGTAGCTGAGAGGCACTCAATGAACACTCAAGTTTACCAACGATTACACGCAAAAAATTGTCAGCTTTGCTGCATGGTTGGTCGATTGGTCTCGTAATCTTAAGCTTAAAAAGTCAGCATTTTCACACCCACCGACAACGACAAGTCAAAGCAACACTATCAAAGAAAAATAAGTAACTAAAAAGTTATTATGAGAAGTCACGCTTAGTTATTTTAGTCTATACAATTGTTGTAATAAAAAGCCTTAAAAATATAGCGGATTCACATTTGAAATCACAGATAAAAACATTTCTACTGGAAGTGGAGGAGTTTTTGAGGCGCTATAACTAGCATGAGATCGCACCTCAAGGGCCTGCGTAAGCATGGCTTGAGCGAAGGCGTCCGCGTCATCTTTACTGGAGAAGTTGAGGCCGTAGACCTGGCGGTTGTCCCGCCACTGATGGAACGTCGGCGTCGCTTGGTTGTACTTCAAAGCTTTCTGGATAGCGCAGTTGATCACAACCTGGCAAATGTGATAAGCTTAATAGCAGGGAAAAGAAATGCATCACGCAGTTACATGGCTAGCCCGATAACGCAGTTGATCACAAACTGCCGAAGGCTTTGAAGTTCTTGTAGGCGTCCGTCAAGAACAAGGCAACACCAACCTATTTATGATCATTCTAAACTTCCCTGGTCCATTATAATACTGATTTATATTTATCTTTAGACTGATATTGCACGATAAGAATAAACGTGTATTCGTATCATGACCAACCATAGCTTCTGTATGCCGTCAACGACACCAAATCGGCAAATTTCTGCAATTATTTTGAACCCGGGAGACGAAAAGTATATTCGTTGACCAGTTTGTCGGCATTCAGTCTTCCAACAGTAGCGTTACTTGCAGACAAGTACAGATAATAGAGACAAGCACAAGACCGTATGCTTGTAACATCAAGGAGTGAAAAGCGCTAGGAAATACAGGTGATGCATGCAACACATAATAATGACATGGATGCCTTGACCTGTTAATCGCGAAAATATTGCTATTTGTATGATGTTGAATAAGATAATATTAGGTTTCTTAGAATGAAAAAACGATTGCCTTGCAACAGAATCTGATCTGATCAGCGAGCAAGAATGGCTGCAGTAACGTGAGGCGGTGAGTCATGTGATGATAAAACGCTGAGTTGTCAAACATCTTCAAGGCTAGCTCGCCGGATCTAGGGAAAGATCTCGAACAAGGAAACGATGCACAACCGACAGCAAATAACCATAAATATTCAAAGCCAAATGTGATGTTAACAATCAAAATATCGACCTATATGCTTTACTATTTGAATACATCTAATGGCTTTGCTTGTTAACTTGATTTAACGAACAATTTTATAACATAAATTTGATGTTCGTCTCAGATTTAATTTGCAAATTCATAATATCAATGTTTAGAACCTGTTTCAATTAAATTCTACAACATAATAACGCCAGAAAATTACAAATCATTGACTAGTCGACCTGTACATGGCAAGTCTACCAACTATCTCAAAGCAGTGACTGATTTCAGCAGGGAATGATCTCTCTTAGCAAGGAATGATCTCTCTTAGCAGGGAATGATCTCTCTTAGCAAGGAATGATCTCTCTTAGCAGGGAATGATCTCTCTTAGCAAGGAATGATCTCTCTTAGCAGGGAATGATCTCTCTTAGCA